ATTTAACAATGCGTAGTTAACTCGGAATCGGGAGTTAACTGCAGATTTTTGTACTGAAAATCTCTAATTAACTGTCGATTCGGAGTTAACTACGCACTGTGAAGTTGGCCCTCACTGTTACTGATTTATGATAATAATATGATGAAAATCGTTCAGATTATAAACCAATGATTTAAAAAAAAAAAATTGTAAACAAAATTTTTTGTCATGTTGCTATATTTGCAATTTTTAAATTGTATGCATAAACATAAGTAAAGTAATAAGTGTTTCTAGAGGTTGTGCCTATTCAGTGTTTCCATATTCATTTGCATAAACAAAATTTTTCCACGATGATGGAAAATAAGGGCTATTCTATTAGAGCTACCGAAATTGTTCCTAAATTTGGAAAAATTCGCAAACTATAGTTAATATTAAAAAAAAGATTAGAATATTTGGAACTAGCGATCTAAATCCACGCCAGCAATATTGATGCTGTTCTTTACATCTTTTGACTATAGGCCGGTGCAATTATCAAGAAAACAATTGAAATTTTCTTGAAAATAGATAAGTTAGAGATTAACGATAAGCTAAAGTGCTGCGAGTAATGATATTTGACTTTATTTTCTGCGTTAACGGATTCATTATCTAATAATATGCACCAACCATTTTTACTGAACCCGGAATTTTTAACAAGAATTGGTCTTATTCGACTAGTGTGCTGTGGGTCACTTGGCGGTCGATGCGCGGGCTCTCACACTTAAAATAAAATACTAATATTTTGCAGGCTTGTTGTTGACTTCATGATACAATATATTTTCACTATTACCAAGGGATTTGATAAAAATTAGATATTCGTGTATATCTAGTCGACAATTCTCGGATTCAATCTGTGGCCTAGCATTGTCTACACAGAACGCAACCTCAATATTTAAGGTCGAAATACAAAACAACTCCAACATATTTCACTCTGTGTGAGCGATCCAGTTATGTTCTTGAAAATTTAGGTTTAAGTAGTAAGTTTTGTAATTATTTCTTATTTTTAATGATCATCAAACAATCATCTCCGAATTTAAGTTGCGTTAAATACATACACTGCCGGAACAAAGTATAGGCACAGCAAATTTTTCACAATATATGCAAAAATTTTTATTCTAATATTTTTCCGCCAACTTTATATACAAATATGGTTCATTCAACAACAAAAAACATAAAAATATAATTCCTAAACTTTGTGCAAAACCCCCGAAAATACAGCAAGTTTTCATCCAAATTTTCAACTTTTTAATCAGATATTTTAGATTTTTTTTGGGTATGCAGTTTTGCATATTTTCCATATAAAGTATTTTCGAAAAAATGTTTGTATGGAAGACACTGCATGAAAAGATTGCTAAAAATCAAAAGTAATTACTAGCTACTTAAAACCTGCACTTTATGATAAAATTGATTGGGCTACAAATCTGCATACTCAAAAAAATTCTAAAAAATCTGATTAAAAAGTTGAAAATTTTCTGAATTTTCACGAGTTTTGCACAAAGTATAAGAATTATATTTTTATGTTTTTTGTTGTAGAATGTACATATTTTTATACGAAATTAGCGGAAAAATATTAGAATGAAAATTGTTGCATATATTGTGAAAAATTTGCTGTGCCAATACTTTATTCCGGCAGTCTAAGTACGTAGTGTATATTTATTTTTTATATGACATTATAATGAAAATAATACAGTAATCCAATAATAATAATTTGTATTGTTCTTTTCTTTACAGGTAAGTGTGAAGCATTTCAGTTGTTCTTTAAGGCATATTCTCGATTAAAAAACGTATGTATATATATTTATTTATCTACAACTATTTCTAACAACTCAAAAATATTATATTTTTTGCTGTTGTTTGCGAAAATGCAACAGTTATTTGTTTCAATTTCGGAAAAGTCCTTTCGTATTTGGCTCTTTCTTCGGGTTCGTAATAGTGGTACCTTTTATTGTCCAATTCACTGAATTTTTGTAGCGCTGCTTTGTAGCACGAAATCAATCTTAAATAAAAGATTAATCTTGTTCCAGACTTCTCGCCCCGGTAAAGGGTGCTAGTTCTCCTCTAATTTTGCCTTATTAAATACATGTACACGGTAGTGGGAGAAAAAGTGTTGGAAAAATGATTCGAACTTGAAAAAAGTGTGTGGTGACCCGAATGGAGGCAAACTTATGCCAAAATGGGGCCGGTTGTGATACTGTTTAATTGATTCGGTACTGACGCCAACTGATCCCCTGGAAATGGAACCAGTCAAACTTAGAATTATAAAACGTTAGCTTTCAGTAAAAATTGTGAGATACTGTAGAACTGTACCTACTTCGCATTAGCTCGGTGAAATTCTTGTGTTAAATTTAAACTGATCAATTTACCCTCGTTTACATTACCATGAAGGTCAGTAGAGAGGAGGTCAAGTACGGGCTTAAGTTGGCATGGAAAGTCGTAATCTGATAACTGTGTATTTCACCTCATGGAATTTATCCCTCATTGTAGGTTTTTTTCTAGAATAATTATCAAACTGTGGCGTCATAAGAACATAATAGGGCATACCTCTACTCTATTTGCAGTGCGTTAGCCATTTTTTACAATGGCATTCTTGCAAGCTTATAAAGCCGTGATTATTTTCCTAAATTCCGCGCTCATATAAGCGTTCTGTCCAAAATATTTCCAAGCGTCTAAGTAACTTCGTCGCTGGAGTCAATTTGACGCCACTCAGTGAAGGTAGTTGGAATTGAGGTAGTCTTTTCTCTAACCAGATTTGCACGATAGCTTAGGAATTTTTTCAAACTTCACTTAAAACGGATGGCTATCTTCCATTTCAGTTAGAGCCAAGTCAACCGCGTAAGCTGTGGCTTGACTTCCTGTAGCCTGTTAGCGCAGTGGCGGAAGAGCTATAAAAAACTGGATAAATTCTGACTACAGTTCTAAAATTACTACTAGAGCGGTATGGCGTGGTGTACTTATCCTTACCGTAAGCTTGTGTTAACATGGGAAAATTTAAGGTGCGAGGAAAATAAAAGTAACCCTAAAATAGCCCATCTTTACTGCTAACCCAAGCAAAACAACTTCGGCATTGTTTGGGCGGAAAGAAAATCTCGGCAGTTTGACACCGGCTATGGTGCTTTGACAATATTTATTTTATTGATTTTTTTTCGCTTGTGGAATGACGACTGGAGTTACGGGCGTCTTTTTTTTTTGTTGAAAGATCGAAACACTCTCTTTGAGAACCCAATAAAAACTTTATCCGATAATAAACTTAGATTATAGGTGGAGCTAGCTACGATATAGAGGTTAGATTCAGATGCGTTTGTGTTTTCAGTATAATAACAATGGGTTTTCAAACAAAAGTATTTTACGATACCTTAACTAGGTAGCGAAAGGATCCCAAATAAAGGGCATTTAGTCACAACCAAGCTGCTCTTGAGTTGTTTGAAACCACCTGTACCTTTACAAGGGACTTAAGCTCGTTGCCAAGTGAAACAGTCTAAAGATCGTGTAGGAATTGCGATACTTTCTAGCGTACCATTGGACCGCATCCAAATATAGGTAACCGAAACCACTAGAGCAATACTGACAGCTCCCTGCTCTTTAGCAGGGCTAATTACAGTACTTAATCCATATTGTCGCCATAGGTATCGCCGATGACCCGTGCTTGTAGGATGAAAATAATAGAAAGCATTTACTCTGTAGCTTTCCGGTCTTAGGCAAACTGAGATGGACTATTTTTGGGTCAGATGTGTTTAGAGTGGAGTATGTTCTTTTCCTCAACACGCTACTAGAAGGCCTAAACGAGCTTGATAAGTTTGCAGAGGTGGAATTATTGACCACGTTCACGTGTTTCCCCTATCTACTTCATAATTTTTCTAAGTATTAATTGCAATGGGGGCTTGAACATCGTTTGGCTTTTATCTCTTAAGCCAACTATAGAATTTTAAAACCTCTTAAGAAGTTTAAGCTATATAGCGAAAGTACACCCTGTGTTAAGTTTTAACTATACATTGTTTTGTTATTTTCCTTTAACAAAACCCGCAAGTTTCAGATTTTCTGCAATACCTATTTAAAAATTTATTCTCTTGCTTTGTAGTTCATTAAATTTCAGTAACGGTTAAGGTAAAATCTTAGACCATACACTGAAGGTGGTAATCTATGTAAGCTTTGCAGGCCATTACGATATGGAGGCAAAAATATTAATTAGTCTAGCTTTCTTAATTAAAATACACCTGGTGTCATAAATGTAAGCGCACCACTTATTGACACTTTTTTACAATTTATTATTTTTTTTTGTTATTTAATTTTAGTTTTTTTGTTATAAAATGATAGTTTATTTATAAACAAAGTCCGTATCGGTTCAAGTTTATACTTTGTTTAAAAATTCAACAAACTCTCGTATACATTTTAATAACATTTCTTGGAAATATTTTGGCTATAATAAAGCGCAAGTTTGAAATAGCTTGGACCTACCGTTGATTTTTGTTTTTTTTTTGCTGGTGGTGTTGTGCATTTGTATGTTCAGAAATTTTTTTATTTCTACAATAAAAGAGAAAATCAACGTTAGTCCTAGCTATCTACTTCAAACTTGCGCATTATTATACTCAAAATGTTACTCAGAAATCTAAATTAAACAGCTACAAATTTTTAAGACAGTTTGCTGATTGTTTTTAATATTGCAGAAAGTTGTAAACATGAATTTATACGGTTTTTGTTGAATTTTTGAAAAAGAGTAAGTAAAATTAAATAACAAATAATAAAAAATTCATTGCCAAAACTTTGCAAAACTTGGTGCGCTTATAATTATGACGCGGGGTGTGTTTCAATTAAGAAAGCTAGACTAATTCATATTTTTGTCTCCATATCTTAATGGCCCGCGAAACTTACATAGATTACAACCTTCAGTGCAAGATCTAATATTTTAATATAAGCGTTTTTTAATGAGCTTTTGACGACTCGTTGTTTTTTATGTATGTACGTCTCAAGCTACGCTCTCAAACATTCGCCCTCAACGTATATATAAACCTTAGTTTCGCTTTGTTAGCTTTCAAAGTATTTTTGTGATATTTTGGAGAAGCCATGGAGCAACTAGCGTGTTTTGTAAAACTTCTTATCCTTATTTGTCTGATTTCCGAGGCCGTGCAAGTTGACAATGTTTTGAAGCCCGTTGTCGTTGATTCTAGCGCGTCACTACCAAGACCACGTATTGTGGGCGGTCTTATCGCAGCCAGTGGCCAATTCCCGTATCAGGTATCAGTGCGCGTGGGAGGACGTCACAGTTGCGGTGGCGCAATACTTTCTCAAGACTATATCATAACTGCAGCACACTGCGTAATCAGGTAAATTAATTAGTTTATCAAAAAAAACTAACAATGTAATTGAGATTAGGTTATCTTGGTGTAATTTGAAAAAATTTTCCAGCCTTCCAACGTATTTTGTCACCGTGAATGCTGGTTCTGTAAATAGTTCTGTGGATGGCGTAGTTGCAGGCGTATCGGAAATAATAATACATCCTGATTTTTCTTACACCGATAGTGATATTGCCTTGCTGAAGCTCAATGTTTCACTACAATTCACCGATCTCATCAAACCAATAGCACTGGCTGGT